ATGTGAACTAAGTGTCTGAACCAATGTCAAAGTCACTTTATTTAGGTGATGGAAATCTAAAGTGACTGAAGCCACTACCAGCTGGGATGCTTGTATGTCTGCACGGGATTGGTAGGATTTACAGGAGAATTGTGCTGTTTTGGTCTCGGCTAGCAACTGGAGGTGAGCAGAGGTATCCAAAATACTCCCTGGGAGAATCTGTTTTGCAGTGACTGTCTTTACTTGTGATGCCACTTGAACTCACCTTCATGATTGAAATGGGCAGGCTGAGCTTGGGAACCACGGGGGCAAAGGCCTGGCTCTGGCTATCATCTTTGTTGTGGGGCAGAGAGTGTGACTAGCAGGTGAAGCTTTATTCAACAGTTAGATTTAAGACTCAGGTTATTACTGTACTTGTGAGCACCTCAGCTTTATAATCCTTAAGGGAAAGATTTTCTTGGGTTTTTTTTCCCCATTTGGTTTTCCATTCATTTATAAATAATTTGTCAAAACCAGAACGATTTGCTAAAACCAAAAAAAACCAATGATTTGCCAAAGCCAAACCAGGTTGACTCCCACAACTGAGTAGATTATAGGTTTTCTGCTCATCAGATTTTGATTCTCTGACTCTCTTCTGTGGTCCTGAGAGCTCATCCAGTCATAACACCACTAGCTCCAGTAGACTGTGGGCTCTAATATATCCTTTGCAACATAATTTTTTCCTGAACCCTTTCCCAAGCCACTTTTGACTCAACTCAATGGTTCTTACAGTTTTGGGGGTTCTTTTAACCAATAGTTGTGGACCCTTTATGAACTTGCTCAGGTCTGGATGTGTGCATATGTCTGTACATGACATCTATGAGAGGTCAGACATCCTAATTTAAAACTTGGCTTCACAAAGAACAAACTGTTTGGAGGATGGGAAAACAGCAGTGAGATGCCTCACCTTTTCCCTCTAATGCATTCCCTCTTTTACCAAACCCATAAGTCAAGTGCAAAAGGTATGAGGGGTCCTGGCACGTCTCCTGGTTGGAGTCTTACCCATAGCAAGAGAGAACAGACAGGCAGGCAGGCATGCAGATTTTTTTCTCAGGCACAGCTGCAATATTCGAAAGGGACAAAGCTGGGAGCACTCTTAGTAAACTCACATGCTCACTTTCATGTGGGAAAGGTATTTATTGGTTCCTTATATCCATTCATCATTACTGTGTACTATTGCCAACTACAGGAGAAACATGAGTTTTGAAAAACAAAGTTAACACATATGCCCATCTCAGATTTTACTTTATTCTCGAGGTATCCAGATGGAAGCGACATGTTTGATATACTTAAAGCTACAAATTTGATTTCATCTTCAGGCTCATGATTTTGACACATGTAATTTAGCTTATAACAAGAGCCTCAGAGCAATGCACTTTGAGGTCACAGGGAAAAAACCAGTCTTCAGCTACTTGTATTGAGCTGTATTTCAAATTCTCTGAAAGGAGTCAAAATAGAGAAACCTTCCTCATTTTTAATGATGTATCAAATTATCATAGGATGAATTCTATTCAAAAGAGAAAAAACCCCAAACCTAAAAGACCTTGCTGTGGATCTTTGCAGGCTGATTTGTGCCGTTCAGTCATTGCACGACCAGGAAGTGTATTGGCTGAACAGATACTAGCAAATCATTTTTAATACTTCATTTCAGGTCTTTGGACATTAATTTTATCATAAATTTGGAAGCCTGATTTAATTGCGCTAATTATATTTTCCCTTGGGAATTGATGGGTTACTACCTACCATATTCTCACTGTGCATAATGAATCACACTGAGACTTCCTCTTATTTATATCTGCTAAAAGTCTAGGAAATGAGTTGTAATAGGCATTAAAGAAACATGTAAGAAATTACCCTAAACCATTTGCTACATGTTCTTTCTCCTCTCATAGATTTGTTCTCACATACGATGATAATGATTCCATTCTTCTGGAAATAATTTCAGAAACTCCACTTTAATTCTCTGTCTGTGGGGAATCCACTGAAAAGAGAGCATATTTCAGACATGTGAGACATCTACAGTTCCTCCTTACTCTATTAGCATCCATCCACATCTATTCATTTTTGTATGTGGAAGTCATTATGGCCACCACACTTCCCAGTGCTTGTGATTTCATCAGATGCAATTGTGCACATGTTGGAGGCTTGATTTTACTGGTACTGGAGTTTTCCATTGAATAGAATAAGGGATTAGGTGACATCCTGCCATAGAATAAAATTCATCTGTCATGTTCAAGTGCCAGTCACCAGGGTATCTTGTCTTCTGTACAACTTTGGAAAATCATGCTGGCTCCTGGTCTCTGTATGACCTTTCCTAAACGGCATTCATTTCATGCCATAAAGCTTTTAATCAGTATTTGTGATTTATGTGGAAAGAAAAACAATCCACTCCTAAAATGAAGTAACCATTAAAACAGTGTGCTTTCTGTCATCTTAATTCCTCCTGTGGAATTTAAAAAAAAAAAAAACAAACCAAAAGCCTTGGTTTCTTGGGGTGAGAGAGGTTCACAAAGGCTTATTCTCCACCCCCATTTTCACATCCTCTCTTATAGTTTTGCTCTGAAATCTTTACCTTTCTCATTGGCTTTTGAAGTCATAGAAGTAGCTAAGTTAGGATCAAGTTCATCTCTGGTTTAGCCTTGATGCTGAACTGCTAGCTGGGGTCTCCTTCTGACCCCACTACGTCCTTCCCCTGCTTTGCAGAAAAGTGAGGTCCCTTTCCCACCACTGAGGTGAAGAGGCTCCTTCCTGGGTGTTTGTGTGCCCTCTCCACACCAGGGGTCACTGATATTGAGGAAAAGTCTGCACTACATTGCTTAGGCAGTTGGATATTCTGTAGACCCTCAGGAATTCAAGCAGGAGTTGAGTTGCCAAAGGGTTTCTTCTGCTGATTGGGGGTACTGGGTAGGATGTTGCAAAGCACTGAGTCCGGCGATCTCCACTGAGAGTTGAGAAAGGGGGATCAGCATCTCATTATTTTCCTGACCTGATAAAAACAGAATTGTGAAAGCTGTTCATGCTCTAATTTGTCTGTGTGGTTACTCCTTTTTATAGTGGCATTTTCTCAAATGTGATATACCTAAAGGTGGACCCTTTCAGATATGACAATCGTTTCCCCTTAATTAATTTTGCTAGTTTGTTCATCTTTGTGGAACAGATCTTCACGAGGAGAAAGAAAGGCACATTTCCTTCAGGAGCGAGTTATGAACACATTAAATTGAAAAGCTGCGATGTTCTGTCACATTAGCTTGGTGCCTACAACGCAGCAGTCATGCTTGATAAACGGTGACATTAAGAATAACATTAGAGATCACACACACAGGGTTGTGATGGCAACCAGGTTACCTATCTGCCCAGTGTTACACACATTGCCCTCCTCATTTATGCCTTTAGGAATGATGGACCTATAGGGAAAAAAGAATTGATATGTTTTTCAGTTTATTCTCACAGTTGAAAAAAAATATGTGGATTATAACTGGACTTTGCATTGAGCTGTAATCCTGTAACTTCAGTGCTATGAAGAAAATACATAATAAGGCTATATTAAATATAGAAGCATATGACATATGGTAAAATTTATTACAGTAATTATTGTTTATTTATGTATTTATATAGACTATATGTGTGGGTGTATAATGTTACATAAAGACATAGGAGTAGTTTTCCAGGGTGTCTGTCACTGTCATGCCAAAGTGCTGACACTGCTCTGAGGAGGAGGGTGATTGCCAGTTTAAGACTCTTAAGTGGCAGCGAGGATTATTTTCTTCTGCTTTTGACCTACCTTTCCCCATTTCTGAATGGCTGGTGTTCAGTTCTTTCTTTAAGCCAGTTTTCTGGTTAGGGCTTGCTTATTAAAAGTCACAGGCATTATTTTAAATCATGCCACTGTCAATGAATCTCTTTAGTGGATCATACTTGCTATAGAGTCTTGAAGGTTTCTGATTTGAGCTGTAGCACAGACATCTTTGAATGATATCCTCGGATTTCACTGCACATTTAACAGTAGCAGGGCTTTTTTCTAGAGCCCTTGGTGTAATTTTCACCTTTTCATTGGAACTGATAGTACCAGCACTATTCCCACACAGTCTGACGAGGTCACATTTAGGATAACACTGACCACTTCCATTATCCTACTGGTACCTTCTTTTGCTCTCCCTTCTATATATAGTTAAAATCAAATACTTATTTTAAAAGGATATATTTGTTCTGCTTTAAATCTGGCCTTGGACTGTGATGCCCAGAAAAGCTTGAAGCCATTTAGGGAACCTTTAGACTGGAGCTTGAGCCTGTGCAGTTAGTATGTATAGCCCCTTGGTTTCCCTCTTACCAGCTGTGCCTCTGCTGCAAGGTTATGGAGACGGGAGCTGCATTTGTGCTCCACATTTTTGTGCAGCAGCTAAGACACAGATCTCTGGTTCATTACTGTGGCTCCTACAGTGCAAGCAAATTATAATAGTTTAAACACACTTTGGTTTATTTTTAGTCTGAAGGATAACAGTGTGGCTCTCGCAGAGACTGGAAAACCGGGCAGAGAAATTCTGATGGTTTAACTTTTCTTCTTCAGGACCTTTGTGGAGAGTAAAGCAAAAAGTAGTGGATGAGAAACATGGGCTATAACCTGTGTAAAGACTCCTGTTAGACTCTGTGGAGAGGATTTTGTACTGGAGCATCCCTGTCACGGGAGACATGGAAGGGAATTTGGGCAGTATAAGCACATGCTTGCTCTGTATCTGTTTGATTGGTAAACAGCATTTAGCCACAGCCACTGTGCTAACCAGACAAAGCTGCCACTGGGGAGCAGGACCTGGCCCTGGGGAGGAGCCCAGGGGCAACACAGAGCTGATTCAGGGCAGCCCAGGGAACAGCTCTGGCTTTTTCCCTTGAATATCTGTTGGGGCTCAGAAGATTTAAGGACAAGGCAGTCCTCAGAATCCCTCATCTTACAATTTCTTTTCTGTCTCCTTTTTCTAATTTTTTTGCAGAGTTAAATGTAAGGGAATCCGACATAAGAGTGTGTGATGAATCATCCTGTAAATATGGAGGAGTGTGCAAGGAAGAGGGCGATGGTGTGAAATGTGCGTGTCAGTTCCAGGTAAGGGCCGCTCACCTTTTTGTTTTGCCATTTCTGACAAATCTTTGAGGCATATTGAAGTATTTGTAGAATGACTGCTTTAAACATTTCCCTCAGCAACAGGCTTATGGAGTCTAACTGTAAGCTCCTTTTTCAGTGGCACTGACTGGGATGGCTTGTGGCTGTATTTCACCAGGGTGTGCTCAGGAAGAGAGTGTAGCTTCCTTCATGTTAGTTCCCCACACAGTTTTGGTGAGTCAGCCAGTGGCAGAAACCGAGGTGGGAAAGAATAGAGAGCCATCACCTGCCAGGTACCCATGGCCCCGCAACCAGCATGAGCAGAGGTGGGGAGTGCCAGGTGTCACTCGCTCCTTGCCTCCCCAGCTTGACTCATCCTCCCCCAAGACCTGAGGTGGTAAGGGAGGTGGCTTGGAGCAGGGCGCCCCAGAGTTGTCACACACATCAGATGAAGCTTTATCAGTTAAATGCCATATTATTACGAATTGTTTCTCTAATACCCAGTATTTGGAGGATTCTTCTGTATTCTACTGGTGGCTAAATGTGTCACGTAAGACCCTGAAAGATCTTAAGGCATTTAGAAAATCAGATAATAACAAGATCACCAGTGATCATAAAATTTATGAATTAGAACAGTGAGTTAGTCCCACTCAAGGAAAAAGAAGTATTGAGCTTTGATAAAAATGTCTTCTGAACTTTTAAAAAGTAATAAATAGAAGTTCTATTTGCTTTGTCAGTTTCTTAGCCTTTAGTTTACGGTTTTTATAACTATCATGGCAGTCCTTCCTTCCTTCCCTCCTTCCTTCCTGTCCCCAACTTTTTTTTAGGGAAGAAACAACAAAGCAATTCTTTCGCTTTACACTTTATAGCCAGGACAAATGTATCAAATATTATGTATGAGACTTAAAGTAAAATTGGAAGAGCTGGCACTGTTATCAGCCAACCCTGGCATGGACTGTCTTTCAGTGTTTTAAAAATAATTGTGTGTTCTGTTTCCAATAAATAATAAATCAAGGAGAACCAGAATAGCAACAATGTGTATGTGATCTTGTGCTGTTTTGGGGTTCCAGTGTTTCAGAGCTGGCTTTTGATGTGGTGTTGTTCACCTGTGCTGGGGGCATTGTTCCATAAGAACAATGGGATCCAACTGTCCTTTAAAGAAAGAAAAAATTCTTAGGAGAATAGGTTTTCTCATCAGCCTTCACTCTGTCTAACTTATTTACAAAAAATACTAAAATCAAAGCTCAACAGTGATTAAGAAAAAAAAAAGGAAAAGAAATGCAACCCTAGGCTAAGCAAAGGTTTAATTTATTTTCTGTAGGCAGTAAATCTTGTGACTTCCTAATATCCAGGTCATGAAGATTTAAAAAAAGAACTAGCCAGTGTGATAAGCTGATACTATGTCTTGAAAAGCCTGTTTTAAAAACCAGTATTGTTTTTAAGCTACTTGCAAGTTTTCTTGTACTTCTTGAAAAAATTATCCCATACTCTAAGGAAAGAAGTCTAAGGATGAGGAGAAGGTATTCTGTTTTTCAGACACGGCAGTTTGAAATCTTCGTGTAACTCTCAACTTTAATTATTTGTCTTATAATTATTAGCAGCACCAAAATATCCCAGGCAGCAAACATTCAGCCCAAACTGTTAGGTTCTTCACACGCAAGACTATCTGAGAGCTAGCTGTTTTTTTCCTGACCTTGCAAGGTTTTGAAAAGGAAATAGACTCATTGGTGTACAGTTGTTCAGCTGAAGAGTCACTGAAAGGAAGAGGTGGGAATGTCAGCCTGTTCTTCCTGAAGAAGAACTTCTTGCATTTCCTATTCCTCACAGCCGGAATATCACATCCACTGCATGTGGATAAATGTGCCACAGGTCTGATACAGCAAGGCATTACTTATGCTCTTAAAACTGCAGTTTTTAGAAAAATGCAATTTTATAATTATGTTGGTTGGGAGTCCAGGTTCTGGTCAGGTGAGGGTGTTCTGATGGAGGGGAAATGCCACCAGATGTGAGGCTGCAGCCCTGGTTGCCCAACAGAGGTGCATCTTGGGGAGCAGAAGGGCACAGCTATGCACAGCCGTCCCTGAACTAGGGCCAAGGCTGGAACAAACTTCCCTCAGATTGAGGAAAATGCATGGAGGTTTTGGTTGCTTTCCAGGCATTACCACTCCTTCCTCTTTATCTGCCAGCGTTCCTGACCTTGCAGCATTTCTGAACTGTTTAGTCTTCTGAAATTTCAAGAAGTCATATTTTTAACTCCTAGGAACCTGTTTGGTAATGACTGGCCGGCAAATTTCAGCGTTGTCATTGAAACAGCTATAATGTCATGGCAGCAAGAGCTCTGCAGGCTGCAACCTCTCTGAAAATATTGTAGGCTTTCTCATTTTTGCCAAGTCAGAAAGCAAGATACTGTTATCTCCCCCCACTGTAAATAAAGGGGAATTATCACATGTTCACCAAACTTCTGGGAAGGTCTTTTGCTGTATTTTGGATGAGTTTTACAAAACCTGAAAGAAAAACTGATCAACACCTAGTGAGTGTGTTATGAACTGGTGGGGGAGGTGAGGTGAGAGAGACGTGGGACTCTTTTTCAATCTCAGTAAGAAAGACTTGACAACAAACAGTTTTATAACATCACCACTTTCATAAGACAGAAAAGGAAAAGGAATATAAATAGTGAGGAAACCTTACAACCCATGCAGATGTTGTGAACTCAGCAATCTCACAGCATTGGATGGAGCCTGGATGGATTTTCCCATGGCCCATTGCACAAAGCACATCCTGTCCATGAAAAGATTCTCTCCCTTTTGATCATTTGAGGTATTAGAGGATTTCCTCACAAGAAAAGCACTCTAATCTAAAGGACATTTGCATGAGAACTCTTGGCTGTACAGTACCAAATTGCTACAGATTTACCAAATTGTGAAAAAGGAATCACTTTGTCTTTCATTTTCTATCCTCAGGACAGAAACCTGTAACTTCAAAACATCATGCAGCTACTTTAAGATTGAACAGAGAATTGTATTGGATAGTATTGTCTCCCTTGGGAGTCACCTGTTAACTGCTCCCTAGAAATGACTGTTCAGTATGAGATGTGACTGAGCTCTGTGGTTGGATGTCTGAGAGCTACTCACTATGGGAAAGTATTACAAAACTGTTAGAAATAACTTTTAGAGCTGGCAGCATGATTTATTTCTGTCCGTACCTGCTTAGTTCATTCTCAGTTGGTCATCTATGGCAGGATGACAAAGGATTGGAGGATAATACCCTTCAAAATTATGTTTTAAAAATTGAATATTTTGACCTTTGTGTGTGTCAAAGCACAAAGGAACTGTTGTGTGGGAGACTCTCATTTGGAATTTGGAGGAGAAACTCTTGTCCTTTTGGGGCAGTATAACTTAAGAAATGTTACTATTTCTACATGCACTTTCACTGGTTGAACTATACCAGTTTACTCATAAATGGTAACCATATATGGTTAAGAAACTTGGTGGATGCTCTGTGTATTTGATCAGTGCTTTTTTGGTTTTTGGTTTTGGTTGGATTCTTTTTGCCTTGGGGTTTTGAAGATGCAAAGTGTGTCTGACATCACAGTTACTACTGCACGCCCAAACAATGTCTCCTTTTCCACACAGTGGAGCAGAGTTCAGATCTCCAGTTCAGCAGGAAACTATGCAGCAGTCTCAGATGTTAGGCAGATTGGTGGTCCCAGCATTTTAATGCACAGTATACGTACAAGGGGTTTCTATTACATCTTTCTTAGAATGAAAGAAAATGGCAAAATACAGGCAGCTTCTGCAAAAGCTATCCGGAATGATAATTTTTCCTTTCTACCTTTCTTTTTATTAAATGTATAAAATGCTACTAACTTTAAGCTTAAAATTTTTCAGCATAGTAATACAAAAGCGTTATTATAGTTGTTGACCAAGTAAAAGACCCATGATGTTCATGAATTTAATGGGAATGGTGATTGTTTTCCACCTCCTTTGTAAGATTATTTTCCACCTTCTTTGTAAAACTGTTCTGACCAAAAAGGTCACCAAATCTGCCCTTAAGCACTGTTCTTTTTAAATTTTCCTCTGTTCAGTTTCATCCCCCTGTGCCTAGTCATACTTTCTTGTATTATCTTGAAGAAGTTTTCTCTTTCCTCAGTGTTTATCCTTCAAATAATTCTAGATGCTTGACATATTCCCTCTAGCCATTACAAAATCCCACTATAGTTATTTTGTTCTTTTAATCTTTCCTGCTGAATTCCTATGTTCAGTCCATATGGAGCTGGACTATTATTTCAGTGATCCAAGAGGAATACATAGAGTGATACTGTAAAAAAAATATATTTCATATCTTCCTTTAGTGAAAAGGGTTATAAGTTACTGCTAGTAACACAACTATCTTCCTGTATATTAATATGCAGTTGAGACTAATCATATGATTTTTGTATGACTGAGTTACTTTATAATTTCTTTTTCAGTGTCACACAAACTATATTCCAGTTTGTGGATCAAATGGAGACACTTACCAAAATGAATGCTTCCTCAGGAGGGCTGCTTGCAAGCATCAGAAAGAGATAACAGTGGTATCAAGAGGACCCTGTTATTCTGGTATGTAAAACATTACTTTGTGTCGCTAATGAATGGTGTTTTATGGTTAGCTCTTTAGTTTTGCCCTTAATTCCAGCAATTATAATTTTTATGCTTTTCATAGAATGCAATAGTGTGGAAACCCCATGTCCTCTTTAGCAATGGAATATTTTTATGGAGAAGAAATCTGATACATCTTCTGATATGCTAACAGGTTAATAAATAAACATTAAAAGTTGAAATACTTTATCTGGGAAAATAGATTGTGAATGCTGCTGTGGTGTTAAAAAAGGAGTCTTGATATTCATCAAAAGGCTTTCAACAAGTTTGGAGCAGACTTCAAATTAGTAATTTCTTTAGGACTTTTATTTTTTTTGGATATACAGAATTAGTGTGACATCCAACAAGTGACACTGATCATCCTGACTGCCACTCTACCTGTATCCAAGGCATCATCTTTGACTTTGGGTCATTGAAAATATGCATAACTTACAAAATTATGCTACCTCACATTTCTAATGGACTGGCCTTTTTTGTCTTTCTACGCACATAAAGCATAGATTTTCCACACGTTTAAAATACACAGGACAGATTTTCACTGTCTTGATTATTACAACATGCTCCTGGGCACAGAAACTTTAGCCACCAGAGGTCTTCTGAACCTCTGGACAGATTCAAAGCTGGTGATACCAGACACATGGCTGGCTTTCTCTCAATGAAATTAAATGACTCGGTAGCATCAACAGCTGCATTCTTTGGTACATAAATAACACACACAAAAAATTAAGTTTTAGGACATCACTCGTCTTTGTTTAGGTTAATCCGAGTAAGCAGTGTGTATCCAAAGTTCTGTCTATACAGCAGCCAAAAGCATGACAGTGGGTCAGAAGTGCACCCCTTGCTAGCTTAATGTTGGTTAATTATCAATGACAGTTTAGAGGTATCAGACTGGAACTCACTGGTAGCTGCAGCATATTATCTGGAAATTAGGGTAAATGCATGGGCAGTGTACCTAGGCCAAGTCCTTGCTGCTGCCAGTCCCACAGCTACCTCATTTAAATGCAGATAGGCTGTGTTTCACACCAGCTGCTCTAATGCCTTTGCCCAGACCCATACTGAGGTTTGGCTCTTGTTTACTAAGGCCCAGAACAATCTCTGTTGTTGGTCCTAGTACTGAAGGAAACCTGTGTTTTATGCCCAGCACAGAAGTATAATTCCAGCATTCCTCAGGCAGATGACTGAATGTACCTTCTTTCCCAGTCTCTCACCTGTAAATTATCACCAGATGCTTCAGAAGTAGGAAAAAAGTGCAGTACAGTTTTAGAGCACTCACACATTCCTATAACAACATCCAAGAAGGTTTGAACTAAGGATGTATAAGTAAATAGTGTTTTTTAATTTCATGTCCAAATTATTTTAAGATACAGACACACAGCATGAAAGTTTCTTTCTCCCACTAAAAAAAAATTCTAGGGTAATGTTTGGGAACAACAAGAAGTGTTTGTTTTTATATGCATTCTACTCTACGACGAGAAAGAAATTTCAAAAGTTGAAAAGTTGATTCTTCTCAGCCTTAGCTTGCTGTCACCTAATTACTAACTTAGATAGTATGGGAATTTTTTTTACCTTCCTCTCCTTTTCTTTAAGTCCTACATAAAACTCAGGAAACACAGCCAAATTTCTAGCACTCAGTGTAACAGATCAAGAAACGTACTGAAACACAACTGTCCAGAAAATCCTGAGAACACATATCTGAAACTGAAGATGTGATTCAGGCTGCATACTGCATTTGCACTGGTGTAATTTTAAGTGCTTCAGCAGAGCTCTGCTAGAATGGTACTTGCTGCTTCCCAAGTGCCTGATGCAGTTCGGGTGGTGTGAGAATATTGGATGATAAAAGCCATCATCTGGAGCCTTTCCATGCCCTGTGTTGGATTGTAGATCACCAAGACGGCAATATATTTGTGCTTTTGATCTATTACACGTATTATGGAGAAACAGATACCCAAATTAAAAAATCTTTTATAGACTCCCATTAATTTTCACTGTGTGCCTTTGAATTTGCTATGAAAATGCTTTGTTCTAGGACATCATTGAGAGCCAGTGGTTTCCAGTCAGAGTTGTTTTTTCAAAGCAAGGTTTCATTCTGGAGGGATGCACCCCAGACGATAGGATGAAATTCCCCCTTAGTGTTGTAGCAACTATTTAATATTTAAAGTACATCAGACTTCTGAATCTCATACTTCCCATTTGCTAAGGATTGATACCTTCTGAAGCTACAGCACTGGAACAGACTATACTGAGTGATTTAGTCACTAAATCATTATTCTATTTCTTGTCAGGTAAGATTTTGATTAAATTTTTACGGACATGGGTGATTTAGCAGCATATTTATATATTTATTTCCTTTGTCTGAGGGCTGTCAGAGTTTCTGAGATTCTAAAATGAGCAATGTTTTGAAAAAGAGTCAATTATAGGTGCCTTAGGAATAAACAAAATGCAAGCTTTGATGTTAAAAATGGTGGTTTAGAGAAATGAAAGAGAATGTATGTCTGAAATGTCAGGACTGCATATACAGGTCCTAATATTGATTTTGACTGCTGCCAGATTTATATTATATGCACATGAAAATGTAACCACACAATGATGTAGTACTTGATTGTACTTATAGATTCTCAGTGTACTGTATATATTTGGAACCCACAGTCCATTGCTTTGTGTTGGGATCTCTTAAGTTTAAAAAAAAATAAGGGGGGGGGAAAGCTGTTTGCAGAACTAGAAACAAACACTGCATCTCTGTTAGACTGAAGAAATTATTCTCTTAGGAGTGGCTCATGGAAGGGTGTGCTTACTTAAAATTTGTCAGTGGACTCTTTGCCCTCCTGTTTGTTCTTAACAATTTGGAGCTGTTGCCTTCAATGAATTCAATTTTCATACTACTTTGAGTTGAAAACTACTCTCCTGAATGAGAGAGGCTGCAGACTTTTTTGGGTTTGGGTAGTTTTTTCTGCCTCTGCACCAAAGCAGACCCACAGTACAGAAATGACTCCTGTTCAGAAAAAAAAAAAACAAAAAGAGAGGGGATTCTGACTGTAGCCTAGTGCTTACAGCATTCAGATGCTGTGCCTGATCCAAGTGCTTCTTTGTATTTTATCCAGAAACTCCTTCATGGATAAAAACAGCTTGCAACAGAAGCCTACACATTTGTGTATAAGCATATTTTTATAGAATTATGGAATCATAGAATCTGGCTTGGTTTGAAAGGGACCTTAAAGATCGTCTGGTTTCAAACCCCCTGCCATGGGTAGGGACACCTGTCACTAGACCAGGTTGCTCAGAGCTCCATCCAGCCTGGCCTTTAACACTTCCAAGCATGGGACATCCACAACTGTTTCAAAAATAATTTGTTTCAGTGCCTCACCACCCTCACAGTAAAGATTCTTTTCCTACTATCTAATCTAAACATTCTTTTTTTGGTTGGAATGCATTTCCCCTTGTTCCCTCACTACATGCCCTTGTAAAAAGACCTTCTCTACCTTTCTTGTAGGCTCTCTTCAGGTACTGAAAGGCCAGAATTAGGTCAGCACCCCCCAAGTCCTTGGCAGGGCTGATCTCAGTTTTTATAAGTCTACTTGGAAAAGGGTGGCTCAAGTAAAGGTGGAGGTCAGTCACTCCTTCTCTAATTACTGACCAGTGGCTGGAGGAATGCTGTTTGTGTTCAGCATCTTCACTTACTTGAGGCATCTTTCTTGATAGATCTTGGGTACGTGGAGATGACTTTTGGAAATCCTGAATTCATTAAGAGCCTGAAAAGAGCAGGGTTGTTTGTCCAAGTAAGCTTGAAAAAAGTGCTACTCTTCTAACCAGCAGCTGCTTGAAAAAATCTAGCCAAGGCTCAATAAAAAGCAGGAACATCAGCTTAGTTTAGCATGGTTACCCTGGAGACGAGAATCCTGGCACAGCTCCCAGGGAAAAGTTGAAAATTGATACAGTGTTATAGAGGATGACACTTTTTTTGTTTGTTTCTTGTGATCTGAAAACCCTGAAAAGTGGGAAAGGATCTATCCCGTTTCTATGATGTCCTCCCAAGTGGGCTTCATGATCTATAGAGACAGGTAGTCTGAGCATCAGCTCCATAATTTACATGAATCTCTTGTTACAGCCCATACTGTCTGTGTGATGGTACCTTCCCTGCCACACAGCATGTGGGCTACAACCAGAGCCCCTCATGCTGGGGCTGAGTGGTATTTCTCACCTCAGGGCTAAACACATAGGGGAAAGCAGTCAGTTAGAGCTGGAAATAAAAACATGGAACAAGTTGGGTTTCTTTGAGACATTTTAGCCTTTGTTTTTCACATGAGTTACATGTTGAACTTGCTCATGTTTGTACATCAGTTTGCTCTGCCCCCAAACAGCTTATGGTGCAATTTCACCACTACAAATAAGCCTATATACTTAATTCATATAAGTAAATTACACTCCTTCAAATTTCTTAATGAAGCAATACCACATCATAAGGCATATTTCTCAGTGACTCAACAATGACATTTCATACGGGATTGTCTTCTTTGTCAGTAAAGTGGGTCACTATTGATGGAAGAAGAACCCTTCTGGTTTTTGCGTTGATATCTGTAAAGTAATAAGCTCAATCTGTTAGACACAGAAGAGTGGTATAGGAGGACAGAAAGGAAAATTTAGGCAAAAGAAAAACAAATCTCTATTCCTGATACCCCGTGTGACAGGAGATTATTTTTAATGTGTGAAATGACCCAGTAACGTGGAATTTCACAGTTTCATCCACTCACTAGAGGGAATTATTCTTAGAAATATATCTCCTTAAAGAAAAGCGGAGGAGGGAACTGAGCAAATGGAGGGTTTGGTCTTTCCTCTGATGTGAACAACAAGCTCATGTGTGGAAGTAAGAACCCCCCACTCCTCTCTCTGTCTGGCCTCCCTCTTTCCTGTTTGTGGAAATAAATTCAGCTGCTTTCTCCATCACCAAAGCAGGCATGCAAAGAGAGGTGTGTGATGAGCAGAGTGTATGCTCTGCTCCTCTCCTCATCTTCCAGAGAAGCTAAGCTAATGGGCGTGGGAACATTCACTGACAGTAGTTGCCATCGAATCCTCTCTCTCCTCCTTTGAGCAAGAAAGGCTGAGGGAGGTTTGTGACTCAGAACATGTGTTTAAGGGCTTGTCTTTACTGCTGTGCTAGCTGAAGACTATGCAGAGTGCTGCCCAGTGGGATGCACATACAAAATCCCAAGCCAGCTCCATAGTGCTCTGAAGTAGAGTTAGTTGGCCTGGGGTGGTGAGGAAGCTCAAGTCCTGCTGACACTTTAACTGCTAATGCAAATGAGATCAAGTCAAAAACTGTCACTCATCAGATGCTAATCCAGTCAGTCAAATGTCAGTGAAATAACTGTGCCGTTAAAGCATTTTATACGAAGTGATTGACTCAGCTGAGAGGAGTTATTTTGTCATTAGGTGACTTAAGTCATCTTTGAGAAGTAGTTTTCTTCTGGAGCTACTTCTGCAGTCAGGTTATTTATGCATTACTCCTTGCAATACCACTCCTGGGGCCACAGGGTAAAATAAAATAAACATTCCCAAAATCGGACTTTGTACTCTTCATCTCTTTTAGGTTTAACAAATTTGAATCTCTAACAGTTGAAAAAAGGCTAAGAAAGCAATGTAATTTCAGTATTGAATGATGCTGTTCCTTGAGTAAAATTGTCTTGACAGGGAAGAGAGAGACTAGGGCACAGTGAGCATGGGCAAACTGTATTAAAGGATGCCAGACTTTATGTGGGATGTTTGTTTTTACAGCTGGCTCATGAAATGTAACATCTGTGTAATGTTTAACAGTGACAAGTTCCTGAACAAACAACTGCTCCTGGAGCAATATTTTCATTTACTTTCTCTTTTTTTTCTCCCCCTCTGTTTCTTTTTCAGATAATGGCTCTGGCTCAGGAGAAGGAGGTGAGTATCAAACTCCACTAAAATTTACTTTTGGTCTCTCCTTTCTTACTATATGTGTGTCAGTTTTACGTACATAGCTGGTGTATGAATTAAGAAAAAATTATGACAACTTAAAATAAGCTTTAATGTTGCAGTTTTATTGGACCATCTCAGAACAGTATTTGAATGGGAATAGGCTATAGTGTGCATTTAACCAATGTCGTTCTTTCAGATTTGACCTATATAACTTTTCATTGTTACCAGCAATACAGCACAGTATTTAGTTCCCTATTTCACCTGTGTTTCTCTCCTGGAAGAGTCCATTCACAATAAATTTCTCACTCTTTTTTTTTTCCTTGCATTCATTTCCTTAGTGTCTAAAACATCTAGTTATTACTTTATCCTTCATCAAACTTGTTGCCTAAAATATATAATTACTACATTATGATATCTGCTTATATAAAATATTTTACAGGTTTCTGTTCAAAGCTGTATATTCGAAGAGGGGATGTAGCACAGCTGGTACTAGTAGAAATGTTCCTATCTTAATCTTCTTCCAAGGATTAAGAAAAATAATAATAAAAATTTTATCTTAATTCTGTCTTTGATACTACCAGAAATAATATGTATAGAATGAAAAATATGAGATATAGATGTATACAGACACAGACAAACTGTTTTAGTCTTTGCTTGTACTAAGAAGATGTTGCATTTCATACTGTTGGGACTGAGTTTTGAAATATTATAAATCTTGTATAATATTGTACATGAAAATGTACCTTTGGTGGAAAACCATCAGTTGCATCACTGAGTAGCTGAACATAACAGTTAACTTTTCAAAAATCATGAGCTAGCTCCCTTTTTTTTCCTGTATTGAGGTGAAGGGGAGGCATTTCCCTCCCCTTTAATAAGATGCTATCAGTAAATTCCTGGGCTGTGGCTAGCACATGGCCATTCTCACCTTTGCTTCCTTTTGAGATAATGTCTGAAGGAACAATCTTCTGCTCAAACAATACAGGTGACTTTTTTCTGATGCTCTTCTTCCTGAGATTGCTCTTTCCCCAGCTCTGATTGCTTCTTCTCCATCTTTGTTACCCAGACTGTTTTTCCACTACAGCTGCTCCCTGTAAGCGGAGCATTTCTTGCCTCAGTACTGCTATGCAATTCTTGTAGGAGACAGATGACAGTAATTTAGTCCATGTTTCACTTTTATTTTTAGAACAGTTTTAGAAAAGTTTGAATGCTGTTGAGATTTTTTTTTTTTTTTTGCAGTATTTACCAACTGCATCCAAAAATCCCCATTAAAGTCCCTTGTAAATGTTACTGTGTTGGTTTGGAAGGGATTGGCAGCCGACTGACAGATGTCAGGATTCTTTGGGTAATTTTATGAGCAGTTTGGAGAAAAGTAGGCTAGAACATGCTGTGTTTCGTTAGCTGCTCTCTGTAGAGGTGAAAGGTCCATGTTCAAATATACTCATTGCTTGATTTAGGGCAGGAGACTGAACACAAGTCCACTAGCTCCTTTTAACAGAGGCCCAAATGGGTCTCTTTGTCATTGCTGTTCTTTTTGGTCTCACTTGAAATATTCATTGAGCCTGGGACAAAGAGATGGGGAGGAAGGATGCATGCTATGGAAAGCCTTTGTTAGCTGAGCTCAGCATGCCAGTGAATTTGAATTATTTATGCAAAAGAGAATGGCATCAGCCTAGGAGATTTGGTGGTCCCTCAATACCTTGCAGAAGTGGTTGGTGCATTGTCTTGGGAGATGGAATATGTGGATTCAGTTCACTTCAGGCAGAAAGAACTGAATCTGGTTCCCTTGACCCCAGGTGAGTACCTGCATTGCCTGGGTATTGAACAGAGAAGGAACCATGTACCTGCTATGTCCTCCAGCAGTTTTGTGGCATCAGCCCTTCATTTATTTGGGTTTCTTCTGAGTGCCTTTGGGCCAACTGAAATGTTCCTGCTTCTATTCACTATTAAAACAAGTGAGTTTAGTTCTTAATTTTAGATTTAAAGAAATAATATAAAAATGAGAAATTGAAAATCCTACTTGGCACTTTTTTTTTCTTAAAATACATCTAGGCTATTTGTGACACACTGAATTATTTTTGTCCCTGTGCACCTTTCTCACTAAACTGGGTGTTGGGTAATACTTCTGCAGAACAGTTAGTTAGCATTTTCTGTGTCTGAAAACAATCCTTCAAAGGATGGAATCCACTGTTGGTTTGGTTATTGAACTCTGCTCTGGCCAAAAATTCAAGGATATTTTTGTACTCACAATATTTTTGTATCTGAAATTGGTTTTGTTCCATAATTCAAGTAACTATATAAGTGTTACAAGGAAACATTAAAAACCTAAAAGACCTATCCCACGTTAGGGGAATTTAGAATTAACCAAACTTCTAGAAGAGTGATGAAACCTATTGAAGAAGCATTGTTTGGAATGCAGAAAAGAAGAAAGGATAGGATCCCAGGCAGAGGATGACCTGCACGGTGGAAGTGCTCAGTGGTGCACTCCACAGTCCTGCCTCCCTCCTTCCAGCTGTGGGACTGACTGCAGTACAACTCCTTCCTGGGCCAGCCTTTGCCATTTTCTTTTGGAGAAAATCAGGATATGCTGAGACAAAATAATCACATATGCCTGAATGTTTAATATCATATTCTTCAATAAGAGTGCACAAATGGGAATCAAATTGCCTGGAGAGACTCTAACCCTGTAGGTTAGGTACAGCTACTGCTTGGAAGCAGAAGGAAGCTTCAATGGAAGTGGAAATATGCAAAGAGTGAGAGAGAGCCAGCAAGCGAGCAAAATGCTAGCTTAGAGATTTGTTTTCTTCCTAGGATTTACATTTCCAGCTGATAATCACAGAATCAGTGTTTGCTGTGTTTCTTATACATGCAGTTGGTATGATTGTGTATGCACCAGTGATGCTTGCACACACAGAATGGATAAGTGCAGCTGCTTGTTCAGGAAGCATTGCAATGGCTGTGCAGATTAGTTTGCTGATATATTTTTAACTTTGAAGGAAAGTACATGAAGAAAGTGTCTGAGTTGTGCTCTTCAGTTGCTATAGCTCTGCCTGTGACAGTCTCCACTGCTGAAATTAGCCGTTTGACTCATGTGCAGCTAAGATTTGTGCTACTGGTTCACACTGTTCTTTTTCATTATCGAAACACAGAACAAGCTCATTAATGATTCTGAAACTTGACTTGATGCAGATTTTCCCTCCTACTCCCAAACTGTGTGATGGTGAATGCATTCATTTTTAGTTTGGTTTTTGGTTTTTTGTGGGTTTTTTTGTTTTGTTTTGTTTTGGGGGTTTTTTTGTTTGTTTGTTTGTGGTTTTTTGGGTTTTTTTGTTGTTGTTGTTGTTTTTTTCTTTTTTAAAAAGGATATTTAGAACCAATTAAAAACCCCCGGAAGTCCTCTTCCTCAAAGACTGTTTAGATGTTATCTTTCCTTAGAAGTTGTCATGTGCCACAAAAAAAAGCTAAAGACCATGGAACTACTGGTTCGAGTTCTCCCCGAATCATGTTTGCTGTTACGAAGATACTAGATTTTAGGAAAAGAATTAAGAGTGGAAGAGTTGTTTCAGTAAGCCTGAATGAGGTGAAGTAATAAATTTTTTAAGGGTGACACAATTGTCTAGTTGCCCTCTGACATTCTGAATAAACTATTTCCATTTTCTGTGCTCTGATAGCACAATATTAATGAAAGGTTGTAATAAAATTACTCATTTTGCTAATTTCAGAAGTCTGAACCTTCAATTAGCATCATGAAACTTGCAGTTATGAACCAAACAGTTGGTCACTTGTGGCAATGGATATCCTGAAGCTGCTTTGAAGAAGAGAATATGATTGTTAATTCAAAAATCAGAGAAATTTCGAAATCCTCAGTATTCTACCATTAGGTTTCACCCCTACAGAAAGCAATGTCAGAGAGTGGGGACTCCGGGCCCGAAAGAGTTGCTTAGCTGGGGTCACAGCTGAAGATAGTGGGATTTGCATTAAATTTGCATTTAAGATGTGAGCTTCTCTCTGTATTCTCTTATATATTCTGTTCTGAAGAATACAGTCATAAAACTAGGTACTAAACCACTTTGTTTAAACACTGTTTTGTTAGAGTTTGAGGCAAAACTAGTGAAGGAAAAGGTACAGGCTCAGATTTCTGTTCATCTCTGACAGTTATAAATTGCAACACTATTTGACCTGCTGAATGTACTTCCACAACTTGTAGATTGGGGCAAAAAAATGATCCTCAGGCTGTCATATTTACATAAAAACGTAGATTGCTAGTTTACAGCTGTCATGTTGACTTTGCGATATAGTTAGGCCTTTGCAAGGATGTGTTGAAAAACATCAGCATTTGTTATGTGCACCATAAAAGAGCTAACAAATGGCAATGACTTTTCAAGCCAGCTTCTCAGAAACAAATTACTGTCTTAGAAGAGGCAGGGTGTGCTCTGGTAATCAACCAACAAGGGTGAGATTTCTAAGTGTCCTTCTGTGCCCATAACATTAATTTTTAATTCTTTTTGTTCAGAGTTTATCTGTGTACCTGAGCAAAATGCACTTTTGATATTAAAAAAGATGTAATGTTAGTTAGACAGATGGCACCCAATCATTTCAGGCTTTTAAGCTAAGAAAATAACATGCTTGCAATACATATAGCTAAGTTAATTATTATTAAAATAATTTGTTTTGAATTTCTAATCCCTCTGAAATTTAATAGCTGAAGTATCTTGTGATGAACGTCTAGCAGATTGCATTTAGTAATTAATAAATTGATATACAGTATGTGCTTTTTACCAGGCTGCCATCTGTTCCTTTCGTCACTGGGGACAACACTTATCCAGTAATTGTCACACAGTCAGGGTGGAATAAACACACAGAGTTTAGAACCTCGAATATTTTTTATTCTGATTTGTAACAGTGCTACTGATTTGTTTGAATGTATTTTAATATGACTGCAGAAACTCAATGCTGATTAACACCCTGGATAGGAGATAACATCATGC